TTTTATTGTTGTTTATTTATTTAAATTTTTTTAATTTATTAATTTGTTATAAATATTAATTGTGTGGTATTGTATATGTATATAAAAATGTGTGGTATTGTGTGGTATTGTAGCATTCTTCTTTAATTACCCTTCAAATAAATGAATTCTTGTGATATCTCTTTTTTGCCTTCAAGAAAGTGCAATGACTTGTATTTATTAGGAAGTGATGATAGGTAAGAATAAAATTTGATGATAGTATTAGGAGGCTTCTTTTTTTTTTTTTAAGGTTTGGTCAAAGTAAATAATGAGACGATGAGGCTAAAAGGAATAAAATCACCAATGTTAAGTAATGATTGAGTCTAAGCTGCAAGCTCCCATCCTCACATTTCTTTGTCTAAAATGCAAATTAAAATAGTAAATTAAAACTGCAAAAAAGGGATGGGATTATGGATGTGCTTTGTGAAGAAATCATAGCTATTCAGCGACCCACAAACTCCAAACTAGAGATTCTCCTAACCACACTCAATGGGAGAAAAACAATTCTTAAATGAAAAAGAAGGGCAGCAAAAGGGAATGTTTGCCTAACATTACGGATTGTTCTTATGATTAATTATTATTTTGTGATTGTGTGCTTTAATTGAAATGTTCATACTCTATCCTTACATAGAATAGATATAGTTCTTACAAGAAATTAAAGGAAGGGGGGAAGTAGCGTAGTAATAGTAAACAACATTCTCATAGTAGCACAATAATGGTGTAAAGACTTGACTTGATGATTTATTATTTAGTTAAAAGTTTTAATTTCAACCTTTAAGTTATAATTCAAGTAAACTAACTCATTTATCATATCTTAAATGTTGTGTGATAATACATAGGAGATATGGATCGGAGTTGGATGTATAAAAAACGCAATACACTTGAATATGTTCATGGGATTCAAGAGTTTATTAAAATTGCTGAGGAATATGCAAGTAAAATTGGTGAAAATTATATAGTGTGCCCTTGTTATGATTGTAGAAATCTATAAAAGTTTCATAATTTTGAACAAATTAAGGATCATTTGATACGTCGTGGTTTTAAGCTAGGATATGACCGGTGGATATGGCATAGTGAAACTGTCTCGACTAGTAAGAGTACAAATCAAAGAGAGTGTGGAAAAAATGTAGAGAAAGATCAAAGTAATGAAGATAATGTTGGAAATTATGGAGACAGTGATCGGCTAGATGAATTGATGCGTGATATGCAAGGGGATTTGAATGAAATGCCTCAAGAGTTTGAAAGTTTTTTTGAGAGTTATGAAAAACCTTTGTTTTCTGGATGTAGTAAATTTACAAAGTTATCAGCAATACTTAAATTGTATATCGTAAAAGCAAAAAATAGGTGGAGTGCTAAGAGTTTCACAGAGTTATTAGAGCTTTTAAATGACATGCTTCCTAATGAGAATGAACTTCCTTGTTCAACTTATGAGGGAAAGAAAATGTTATGTCCGTTGAGTATGGAGATTGAAAGGATCCATGCATGTCCAACCAACTGTATTTTGTATTGGAATCAATACAAAGACTTGCATGTGTGTCCGAAGTGTGGAGCATCGCGTTATAAACGAAAAGGGCTCGATGATGCATGTGAGCAGAAAAAAGGTTGTCCAGCGAAGTTGTTGTGGTATCTACCGGTGATTCCAAGATTCAAACATTTGTTTGCAAATGCAAAGGATGCGAAGAATTTGCAATGGCATGTTAGTGGGAGAAAAGAAGATGGAAAGTTGAGACATCCTGCCGATTCTCCTAAATGGAAGAACATTAATAGGAAGTTTCCTGAATTCGGTGTTGAAAACCCAAATCTTAGGATTGGACTATGCACGGATGGAATAAATCCTCATGGTAACATGAGTAATCGCCATAACACTTGGCCAGTTCTTTTAACAGTTTACAATCTTCCTCTGTGGTTGTGTATGAAACGTAAGTACATCATGTTATCATTGCTAATATCTGGTCCTAAACAACTAGGAAACGACATAGATGTGTACTTGGCACCGCTTATTGAAGATTTAAAGATGTTGTGAAATGAAGGTGTGACAGTATTTGATGCTCATAGTCAAACCAACTTCACTTTACGAGCCATGATGTTCTGCACAATCAATGACTTCCCAGCATATGGTAACTTGTCAGGGTATACTACTAAAGGGGCTAAGGTATACCCTGTTTCTGAATATGAGACAGTTGATCTTTGGTTGAACAACAATAGGAAAAATGTGTTCATGAGTCACCGAACCTTTTTACCTATTGACCGTCCTTATCGAAAGAGGAAAAAAACTTTCAATGGAAAATCTGAGACTGGAGTTACTCGCTTACCATTACTAGGGGATGTTATTTATGAACGAGCTGAGTAAAAAACATTGATAATATGTGGGGGAAAACTTCAAAAACAAGTCAAAAGGGTATTTGGAAAAAGAGGTCTATATTATGGGATTTGCCATATTGGGAGCACTTATCTGTTCGACATTGTCTTGATGTAATGCATGTGAAGAAAAATATTTGTGATACCATTATTGTTTATAAATTATTTATAAGTGTATATTATAGGGAATTTCGATCCATTGCAAATTTAGGAGGGAGAAGACCTAAAAACAACGTTGATTTGAATCCAATTGAGGTATATATATCAAAATTAGAGTATTAATATTTTTTTACAATTTTATTAGTAATGTTTTTATTGTTTAACTTAATAATATATATACATAAAAACTCATATTTTGTAGTGTCCTCAACAACTGGGTTCTGTGGAGTGCGGGTATTATGTGATGAGATACATGTATGAAATATGCACTCTATATTGTGATTTTGAACATTTAGACACGGTATGTACAATTTATTAAAACTAAATAGTTTTAGATTACACTTTATTAATGTTAAAACTAATTATTTGATTATATTAAATTTTTGTAGGCATTTGATAGAAAGCTTTACTCACAAGAGCAAATTGATGAGATTCGTGAGGTTTGGTCTAAATATTTTGTTGAAAAATATATATAAATTTTTGAACTCTTATTTAGTTAATTTTAATGATGCATGTATTGTTGGTACTTAGCTATCTTATTACATGTATGTGTTGCGAACTTTAATTTGAAGTGTTGAGAACTTTGAAGTGCATGTTGATATTATTGTGAATGTATGGATTAAAGTGCTAAAGTGTTAAAGTTTAGTTTACATATGTGTTGAAAACTTTGAAGTGTTGAAGTATGTTGTGAATTGAATGTATTGAAGTTTAATTTAGTGCTAAAATGTTGGTAGTGATGTATTGATGTTTGTATTGAAGTTTAGTTGAAAGCTTTGAAGTGGTAGTGGCTGTGACTGCATGTACAAGATGTGAATAATATTTTTTGTACGGGATAAAAAACTGGAATTTTTATCAAATAAATATAAAATAAAAAAAATTATAATTCGCGTTGGACGCGAATTGTAGTTTTTAAAAACAAAATAATATCTTTGCGAGTCCAAAGTTCATCATTAGACACACTGTAGTGTCTGACGCGCGGTGCATGATATAACAACCGGACTTATTTGATCACTATTAGTTGTTTGACTTGGTTTAAAAATCAATATAAGTGTTTGATTAATTAGCTTTTTGTACTCCAAAATGTTAAAATTCAAAAAGCTACTCAAAGCAACTTTTTCAATTAGCTTTTTGAGAAAAGAAATTATACCAAACATCTATCAACTAACAACTAATTTACCAAACACCTTTCTACAATCAGCTAATGTTATCAACTAGTTATACCATCTAATTAACCTAATCAGCTAACAGTCATTTACCAAACATGGCCTATATTTTTTCTGTTTGATTCATTTTTTACAAGAATGAGCAACATCTAGGTTTAAATAGATACACAAATTAGTCCCTTCAAAATATACACAAATGAGAAATAGTCCCTAAAATTGAGGTCATGTAAAGATAGAGGTGGTAGACTGGTAGAATACTATACGTGTGGTCTAGACATTAGACATGGACAAGTGAGCACTTGGCCATTAAGGCAACATCCTGTAGTCGTAACGATTGTAAGTCTTAGATTCCAAGGACTTTTAACTCTCCAACTCCTTTTCACTTAGAATAAAGTTATATTATGTTAGATTAGAGTTGAAGTCAATATTGCAATTCAAATTATGCCAATTTCAATTCAAGCTTGTATCTTCAATCTACATTGAATCAGAGCTAAGTTTTCATTATTTACATTTCAATTCCTTCAATTTTACTTATGTTTTCAATACATGCAATTCCATTGTGCCTTTTCTCTGGGATTTGGATTAAGCTTGCTCTTATTATAGATGCTTCTATGATTTCAATTGCATAAAAAAGAGCATGCATTGAATTAGCTAGGGTGGTTGTTGTGAGTATGCTATAATTTGATCTCTTGTATCATTTAGGGTTGAATTATGCCTGAGAAATCTTTGGAATTGTGTGTAGCTATAAGAATATGACACGCAATTAGACATATTACATACTCACAATTTCAATCTCGCCCTTTGAAAAAAAAAGGGGATTGTAAGAATTGTTCCAATTAGAATTGAATCGCCATAAGAGTATGATTCTTTACTAATAGAAGTTAGTAGCTATTCATATAAATAAGAAGAGGAAGAAGAAGAAGATTACCTAAATTAAAGCAGCATTAAGAAATCCCAGTAGTCTGTCGTCACCCTATCGTCTATCGATCACCACAATTCAAGCAGATAGCTAAGCTAATTAATATATATAATCCAATTTCCATTGAATTTCTCAGCTCGTGATGTGATTAATTAAGGAATGCAGCGCAAGTGGAGTACTTAAAGATAGAAAAACTCCTATCTACTAATTAATCCACGTACTCTCTGCTTTTAGATGGAAAAATGAGTTGAGATGAGATGAAGAAATAACACCAACTTTAATTTATACCACAATTATATTCAACCACAAACCATAATATATACTTTATGATGCAACACACTACTATACGTATTCATTACACCAACAAACCCACAACAACTATAAAAACCATTGCCACATTCATATATAACAGTACAGATCCTCCTGCTATGGTATGCGAGAGAGTGTTTTTATGCTACACTGAGGCAATGACAACCATTCTTTACAATCAGATTGAAAAATTGACTCCGAGACATCACGTGAATAGTACGATTCTCTGATTGTTTAGAAGAAGACACAAAAGTGTGTGAAAAACAATTTAACAGTGATTTTATATCAGCTAAGATAAGATAAAATGAGCACTAGTCATTATCATTTGATAGGGCCTCGAACCACCGATATGATAGTGCATCAGCTGTTTCCTCTTGAAGCTAGCTTCCCTTGATACGTACCTCGTCTGAGCACCTCCTGAATGGCCACTGCCTCCGCCACTTTGGAAGAGTAGACTCCTATCCAAGGTCTAGTGGCAGCCGCGATAAAGGTCCCTTAGTCACAACGTAACGTAACACACCTCCAAACCCCATTATTTTTCCTCCACTTATATCTATCAATTGTCATTAAGCTTCCACTAACCTTCTCTGGCATTGATGGATTTCCAGTCTTCCAGATAGTACTATACCTTGGGTGAAGAATTTAAGTTGCATGAAATGTGAAAGAGTCACAGGCCGCTTAATTTGGGACGAGAGAGGACTCAATATATTTGGAACCAACACAGAGGCCATCATTTCCATAGCTTCGCTGCATGCTCATCAGTGCATATCAAAAATCCCATCAGAAACAGCCCCAAGTGCTATCTTCTGCAACCAAAAAGAGCATCACACTCAATTCACATGGATGGCATAATTGAAAAACATTGACAGAAATATTGCAAGTTCAAATTTATAAGTTCAAAACTCCCAATGCTCTATATATATTATGAAATTTGGATACTTTAATTAAACAACTTAAAATAATTAAGTGAATAACGTTTTCCTTATTGGATATCTGCTTTCAAAAATCTAATCTCAAAATACTTCCATATACTCCTTAAAATAGCAAGACCAAACCTTTCAGAAAATCGTAAGCTCTTTCTGCAAACAGTCAAAAACTAAAATAATAAAAAGCAGCAGTTTACTAAGCTCTTTCCATCACCAACTTCTTCTGACAACCAGAAATCATTGCTGCAGTTTACTAAAATATATAATATATAGTATGATTTGCAACAGAGTATTGTGGCAATTCAAATACCTGCAGCCTAATCCACCAAAATATCACTCTCTTCTTCCACATCCAATTCTTCCTCTTCTGTTGTTTACACGTTTCGTCTGCAATCCATAAATAAGTAAAAAAAGAAAAGGTGAACGCACAACAGTTAGATAGGTAAGGAAATATGAGATAGAAGTGAGAGGAAACATATCAGATATGATGGCATGAAGAATTCAAGTAGCATGAATTGAAGTAAGTGCATGTTAAATGGTCACACATATTAGAGGGATAGAAAAAGACCATAATATTTTCCGAACGAACAAGGAGGGCATTTCCATAGTTGTATTTCTCTTGTTCAATCAATTTTGCTGAAGCCAGAACGGAATCCAAACACCAGTTTAACTGAATCAGTGCTAGTGTGGTGATATCCGCAAAACCACTAGGGATCACTTGCAAATTATCGCATTTATGTAACTCCAAACATTCAAGCACAGGGAAATGGTCACCCACGGCACTCCAACGTTTCAAACATGTATATTCAATTACCAATCTTTTCAATTTACGGAATCCTTCCTCGGATGGTTCCCACATTGTGTCTTTCCTAGCAATAGCACGTTTCAGCTTTAGAACCTCTAGATTCGGCAACATACCAATAAGCCTCATATCACTCCATGCCAAACTAGTCAAGAAAAATTTGAGCTTCTTAAGATTTGGCAGAAAACTTGATGCCCATGAGATGCCGCTACATGGAATACGGTTGAGATTAAGCCACTTTCTGATGCTTAGCTCCTCAAGCTGCCCCAAGTGCACAAAATTATTAAAACAATCTAGATTGTTTCCATCGTATCCACCATCAATTCCCAATTTTTTTAAATTTGGAATCCTTGTAAACAAATCCTTTGTACAGAGCTTAGAATCCAACCATGATATACTCTCTAAGTTTCTATGAACAACTGACAAAGTTCCAAATGAATCAATCCGTTGAATGCATAAATTCCTTAATAGTGGCATTTTCCAAATTCCATATGCCATAGAGTATTTCAATGCTCCATGAACAATAAAGCTTTGCATATTCCAATGCTCAAAAAGCTCTAAAGAAAAATATTTATCAGAATTTGTTGAATACCTCAAAGCTAAGTATCTCAAATGAATAAGATTTGCAAGCGCATATTGTACCCAATATCCATTGGAAGATATACGCTCTATATCAACTACTCTTAGTAGTTTGAAGTTTGAAAATAGACATTGTACACTTTCATAGTAATAAGCATACGGATAGTGAAAGGAATGTGATTTGTGAAAGCACTTTGTCAAAGGAAGTAGATGAAACCCTGATGTAGCACTTATCCAACGACAAGAGATTCTCTTCTTGTAAAATGGAAGTTTTTCATCTCCAACAACATTCAAGAGATTTTCATGTCGAGCTTCTCTTAAACACAAATCCCGCAACATGTCATGTATTCTTATTGTCTTCATTTTCCCATTGTAGCTCTGTTTGTTAACAAAAACAAGACTTCTATCAACAAGATCTTGCAAGCATTCCATGGCCACTTCCTCCATATTTCGATGGTCCTCTGCCCTCAAAAATCCCTCTGCCGCCCACAACCTAACCAACTTCTTCACATGGATCTCATAGTCTTCGGGGAAAACTCCAAAATATAGAAAACAAGCTTTTAAGTGGTGTGGTAATTGGTTGTAACTCAAATACAGTATTCTGGAACATGTATCATTAGAATCACCAATTACATATCTACCCACATTTTCTGCAACATTATTCCACTTCTCCACTGCGGCCTCTGTCTTGGAGAGAAGACTAGCTACTAAAGTAATAGCTAGAGGTAATCCATTACATTTCTTCACTATGTCTCTACCAATTTGCTCAAACACTGAAAGAAATTCTGTTTGACCTAACACATTGCAGAAGAGATTCCAACTTTTATTGGCATCTAAGAAAGGCATGTTAATGGTAGAGTTACCTGAACTTGCATATTCAGCCACCTCTCTTAGCCGAGAAGTCAGTAGTATACGGCTTCCATTATTATCATCTGGAAAGCATCTTTGCACACTATCCCAAGCGGTAGAGCTCCATACATCATCCATCACTATAAAATACCTCTGACCCATCAAGTGTTTACGCAAACTTTCTGTTAAGTTGTCATTTCTTCGTTCATGGAGTACATCATTTGATTCTGCATTAACACAATCAATAAGGCATTGGAGTATTTGTTCCACGTCATACTCTTGAGATATGGCAACCCATGCTCGTTTGTCAAAATGAGAAGTAATTGATGAATCTTCATAGACGTTCCGAGCTAAAGTGGTCTTGCCAATTCCTCCCATGCCTACAATTGATACAACTTGTAGCTGCTTTGCGGATTGTCGGGTGAGTTGATCCATTATCATCTTGAACTCCTCGTTGCATCCGACCATTCTATTGTCAAACTTTATTGAAGCAGTTATTGAAAAATCTACTCACAGTAATATTATTCTCGCCAGCTTCTAGTTCTGCAGGCTGTGATGATGTTGAACCAAGGAGTAGTCCTCTTTGTCGCATCCGACCAAGCAATGAAACACCAGGGATTGATGGACTCTTTGCAAACTGGTGTTTACTTTTAATCTTAATCAACTTCTTCTTCAGGTAATCAGTCTGTTTTACAGCTTGCTTCAAGATTCGATGAAGCCTGAGGAGGCAAGCCTCTATACTGCTTGACTGAAGGTATATGTTACTCAACTCCATCTCAATCCTTTCTTCGGCTTTGAACGCTACATCTCTCATCTCTGCCTCTAAATGTTTCATAGCCGAATTATCATAGCCATAGGCGATCTCAGATTTCTCAAGGATTTCTTGGAGGAAACCAAGATTTTCATGGAGAGAAACTATTTGTTGTTTGTGTTGAAGAAGGAAGCATGGTTGTGATTGCAAGAAATGGAGATGTAGAGTTTCCATAAGCGAAGTTACAGCAGCGTACGCCATTTGCTTCTCTGTGCTCTAGTAAGTTACGTTGATCAGTTGATGAGATGCAGAATTAGGATGAAATGAATGACTAGAAGATTGAGATAATTCATAATTGTTGTCAAAAGAAAATAGGAAACAGTGTTTCAGTAAAGGTGGTTTAGTGGAGATGGAACAAATTCTGATCAAAAGATAATAGGAAAAGAGCACAAACATGTTTTAGTAATATAATAATGGTGCACTAGTGGTCAACTTTTGGTCTCAACAATAATAGACCATTCACACTTTGAGCATTGAAACTCATAATAACCCTGCTTTTTTTATTTTTTGAATGTTACTGACTCTATTACAATGTAATATCTGTTCATATACTTTCTCAACCTACTGAAGCACAAAAACATAAAGAGCCAATAACACGTTTATATACTTTCTCAACCTACTGAAACACAAAAACACAAAGAGCCAAATGGAAGTCCAACCCGAATACCATTAGATCACATAGTCCTGGTCATAATAACCCTGCTTATTATAGTTCTATTTATTTTTTGGTTACTGTTGACACTAATCTAATTAAAATTTATTTTAAAATATAATTGAGGCCATTTTTATTTTTTCAGATTTATAAAAAAAATATTATTAATAAAAAACGTAAAAAATGCTATCTTTGTTTTCCGTTTCTCCTTCGTATTGTTCAAATATATATTTTCTCCCAACAAAAACTTTGTAACAAAGGTAATGAACAAAATGGATACTTTTTATTTAACACCAACACTAATTGACTATTATACATACTTTTTTTTCTTTTAATAATAATAGGAGATGGTTAAAATATAATATAATATTTTGATAATTTATTTATTTGTTTTGCACCATATAAATTTATAAATAATCTAGCTAATTATTGAAAACTAACTCCAATATGCAAAATGTGTAATTTTAATATTCATTGTTTTCTTTTTCTTTTCTTAATATTATTTAATGACTGCATGCATCAGAAGTTATCCAGGCCCAGCTCACCGGTTTTAAATAGAGCATCCGTGGCCATAACTGGCGGCCATGAAATTAAGTTGAAGCAAGCTAGCTTCAAACCCATATATACCCCCAATAACATAATGGCCCCCATAACCCTCAAGACGCACTTGCTCAGTGGTGGATCCAGAAAATAATGTGAGGGGGTGGGGGGGGGGGGGGGGCGTACTTAATTCGAAATATCACTTCTAAGAAAAAATTACATCTTTCACAATTTTGTCTAAGGGTGGAAAGACACCTCAAATAAGGATAAGGAGCTAAAACGTAATAAAATGCTATAAGTGGGATTTGAAACATTAACACTCCATGTAATATTTAAAGTTCTACCCACTGATCTACTAAACACCTTAATGACTTATGCATTTACTTATATATTAGTGGAAAAGGTTGAGGGGGGGGGGGGGGGGGGCAGTGGCCCACGCTGCCCCCATTGTGGCTCCGCCACTGCACTTGCTCACAGATTACGTCAACTTGCGAAAGAAGTTGATTGATTTTATGGGTTATGTGTTTGATAAATTGTTTCAATTAGAATTGAATTGCCATAAGAGTATATATGATTCTTTGCTAATTGGTAGTCTAATGACCGAGAATCATTGGCACCTTTGTTATCTCTTCCTTGATTCTTGCTAAATCTTTCAATAATCGCCAATTAACGTTATATGTATTATTATTTTTGTTTTTTTTTAATAAATGAGCATATTACGTCGGTTTCATTGGGAACTGATGTTAAATGGTCAATTTAAAAAAAAAAAATTAAATATATAACGTCAGTTATTTAAATAACCGACGTAAACAATAATATATATTATTTTTATTTAATTTATTGACATTTGACGTCAGTTTTAGAATAATCGACGTTATATGTTAGACGTTATATGTTATTTCTATAGTAGTGATAGTATGAAAAGAGTAATGAGACTAAATGTTTTACGTGGAAACTTGAAAGGAGAAAAATCACAATCCTTTTTGGATTGGGTTAAATCCAAAATATACTATTACTGTTGAACAATACATGTTACGACCTACTTTACTTAGTACCATTGAAATATGAATTAAATATAAGGACTAATGGGGTCGGGAAGCTAACTAAGGGTAAGTGATGAGGTTGGGAAGTCCACTAGGGGTCCGGTGTTACGTACTGAAATTTAGTACGCAACGGAAGAAACCTTTCGAGTAGGCTTCTAGCTCCAATCCATATCGAGTTACGGTAACTCCAAAAGTAAAACAATATAATGAAAGAGAATGAAGAACACTTCAATATAAAAGACTGGAATAACAATATATTTCTCTCTGAGTGGTTCTCAGTATTCATATACAATGGACCTATTTATACTAAATTACTAACACCTATAATAATTAAGTTACTACAATTATTCTAACTATACAAGGTAATAATATATTCTAATATACATAATTTTCTTATACTAATATTTAATCAATTATCCTCTAATTACATATGATTCATTCCTTGTAGATCCTTCACTAATTAAATCACCAATTATTTATTTCCTTTGTTGCGTATCACTCTCCACCCCTTCAAAAAACACCTTGTCCTCAAGGTGTAGAGAGGAATAGAATAAACACATCTTTGTTGAAGCAGTCCATGCAACTTTGGATGGGGGCTAGTTGGCAAAACAAATTGAAATGGTTCTCGAGCTTGATCATGACATATAAATGGCATCCCCTTTTGACTTGTACCATCTAAAAATATCTCTTGCTCTCCAATGTTGAGTTCCAAGTCTAAGGTAGTACTCACAAGTCTTGTCTCAAGATAATCCTCAAGAGACTCTAAGTTGTTGAAATCTTGAATGTTGCTTTCGTCGTGAGCGGTTGGGAGAGTAACTATAGTTATTGATGATTCCTGGGACCCTGTGCTACTTGGTTCTTCTTGAAAAGTTAGATTAGAATAATTTGAAATGTGACATACATTCCAAAGTGTCATCTTGGTCCGTATGTAATTCTCCACACACAGCCATCAACAACTCTAAATCAGGATATTTAATGTCTAAAACACAACACCCATCATAAATATTTTGGCCATGAAGAGCTTGTTTGGCCATGAATGCATCCAAGATAGAATCAAACCATACCAAAGCTTGGAAGGTGTAACTCTCATCCTTCAAAGTATGAATATATTGTACGGGTCTTCTTGTAGAAAATATCTCATACAATACAAAATCATCAATTGAATATACTTGATGTACAGAAACCAATAAGCAACGTTGAGTAATATTTTCCATAATAATTAAAAAAAAAACTTTTTTTTATTTGTAATTTTTTTCAATTGTTTTTCCTTTTTTTTTTTTTTGACTTTTATCCTTTTTTTTTTGTCGTTTTTTTTTTTGGTCAAATTTTTTCACCTTTTTTTTAAGGAATGCGTATGCGGCTAACAAACAAAATAACAATAATAACAAAAAAAAAATAAAAAGATAAGGATATTATCACCAATGAAATCAATGAAAACACTAATTGTTACGTGATGCACCCACAAATCCTCTCAATGAAAGCACTAATGATACGTACTGAAATTTAGTACGCAACGGAAGAAACCTTTCGAGCAGGCTTCTAGCTCCAATCCGTATTCGAGTTACGGTAACTCCAAAAGTAAAACAATATAATGAAAGAGAATGAAGAACATTTCAATATAAAAGACTGGAATAACAATATATTTCTCTCTGAGTGGTTCCCGGTATTCATATACAATAGACCTATTTATACTAAATTACTAACACCTATAATAATTAAGTTACTACAATTATTCTAACTATACAAGGTAATAATATATTCTAATATACATAATTTCCTTATTCTAATATTTAATCAATTATCCTCTAATTACACATGATTCATTCCTTGTAGATCCTCCACTAATTAAACCACCAATTATTTATTTCCTTTGTTGCGTATCATCCGGTCATACAAGGTCGGGAAGCTCCGGTTGGCGTGGTGCAAGTTAGGAGTAGAAGTTCCTTTTCACACTAAGCAAAGTGCTCTATTTATACTAAAGAAAATACTACTCCTACTTCCAAATTCTACTCCCAACTTTTGCCCCATCACACATGATAATGATGGTTTTCACAAATCCATCAAATATCAAATCACAGTATAGAGTTTAGATATCGTTCCACTAGAGATGACTCTTGTAATGTTAGGAATTGATGCAAAGTGGAGTTAAGCACAAGCTAGAACTATTCTTATAGAAGCTAGGCCTATCGTTAAAGAGTTGTGTTGATATGATTAAGCAAATAACAGATAAGACAGATAAAACAAAGGACTGGGACTTGATTGATTCAAGTTAAGACGATGCAAAATATTGTACTAAGGATTTTAAAATTAGAATAAGACATAGGGTAAGTGAGATGCACAAAAGTGTCCAAATACCACTCTCATACCTATTTGGACTTGCAACCCCACCTTGAACTCCACTCTCGTTGCAATTCATCCCAAGGGTGCCAAACAAGAACACAAGGCATATATTCTCCTTAACACC